TAACTAACTTGGTATGTATCATACTTATCTAAGTAACTAACTTGGTATGTATCATACTTATCTAAGTAACTAACTTGGTATGTATCATACTTATCTAACTAACTAACTTGGAATGTACCATACTTATCTAAGTAACTAACTTGGTATGTATCATACTTATCTAACTAACTAACTTGGAATGTACCATACTTATCTAACTAACCACATGTAAATATTAAGGAGCATTAATGAACTGATATCACATTCAAAAATCACTACAGCCTCAAAGACAGACAGACATACATCTGTTGTACTTTGTTACATTATCTCATAACTCACCTCAAACTTAACTGGCCCATTTAATTCAAAAATTATGTAACTAATATTGACATATTTTCTCAAAAATGTACGCTGACCTATCAAGCACCTGTTCCTTCTTTTCTTTGATGGCATCTGAATCGTAATGGTCACCAGAAGTCAATTGGTCAGCCATGTGTGCCAAAGTTCTTATTTTCTCCTCCTGCACATTGATAGCTTTGTCAAAATCTTCATGTCTCTTGATTAAGGTTTCTACATTGTCTCCTCCCATGTCGTCAGAGCCGAGGAAGGCTTCACGGTTGCCCATCCAGCTCTCAGCCTGTTCACAGTCTCTATAGAACAGCTGGAGTTCCAGGCACTGATCTAACTTCATACGTCTAGCAATCCACGCACTGAAAAAAAAAACAAAAAAAACATACAAATATTTGAAAAAATTAATCTGATTTACATACGATAACTACAGATCCTTTAAGATTGAAACAACACTTGTGTAAATTGTTAAATAACACAGTTGTTAAAAGAAAACAACTCTTGATGGTACACAATAAATACCTTAAAATGAAACTGTTCCAATGGCTGATGATAATGAAGTAAAATGTTGAAACATGTAGTGTTACATCTGTGCCCAGTTTCAAGGTTTTTATTTTTATACAATAAATCACTGAGTATATGTTTTAGTTAAGTTTGAGACTGGTGACAGTCTCATTTTTTAAATATCTATTGTATATCGTTAAACATTTTATTTGTTTTTATTTTAGGAATACAAACCTAATTTCTTTTTATTAAACTTGTCTATTAAACGTGAAAAATATTGGCCTTCTACAAAAATTAGTTTCGTCATGTTATATGAACATGTGCTTTTTTTTTTTACAGTTTCGTAGTATCACAAAAAATATCAGTAAAGAACGAGAAAGTGAAGTTATAAGTAATTCTTCCATGTATCAACATCGTGTTATTCTTTTTGATATGAACATATATTCTACCATAACCTGTACATATTTTAACACTAATAGCAAGAACAGAAAAAGCATAATAAAAAAGTTTATGGCAACAAATTATTTTATATTACAAATCACTGTACATATCCTTGACTGTTTTATATTACAAGTCACTGTACATATCCTTGACTGTGTTATATTACAAATCACTGTACACATCCTTGACTGTTTTATATTACAAGTCACTGTACATATCATTGACTGTGTTATATTACAAGTCACTGTACACATCCTTGACTGTGTTATATTACAAGTCACTGTACACATCCTTGACTGTTTTATATTACAAGTCACTGTACACATCCTTGACTGTGTTATATTACAAGTCACTGTACACATCCTTGACTGTGTTATATTACAAGTCACTGTACATATCCTTGACTGTTTTATATTACAAGTCACTGTACATATCCTTGACTGTGTTATATTACAAGTCACTGTACATATCCTTGACTGTGTTATATTATTAAGAACTATACATATCCTTGACTGTTTTATATTACAAGTCACTGTACACATCCTTGACTGTTTTATATTACAAATCACTGTACACATCCTTGACTGTTTTATATTACAAATCACTGTACATATCCTTGACTGTTTTATATTACAAATCACTGTACATATCCTTGACTGTTTTATATTACAAATCACTGTACATATCCTTGACTGTGTTATATTATTAAGAACTATACATATCCTTGACTGTTTTATATTACAAGTCACTGTACATATCCTTGACTGTTTTATATTACAAGTCACTGTACATATCCTTGACTGTGTTATATTACAAGTCACTGTACACATCCTTGACTGTTCAAGTCACTGTACATATCCTTGACTGTGTTATATTACTAAGAACTATGCATATTCTTGACTGTTTTATATTACAAATCACTATGTGCATCTTTGCATGCTTACTTCTCAAGTTCTTTACGTGCTTCATTCATTTTTTCCAACTTTTCCTGAACTTCCACGCTAGCATAATGGCCACTTTGCAATAACTGCTGTCCAAATCGTTCAAAGGCTTGGAAAGTCCCAGCCCGAGCATCAATTTCAGTTCGGTGTTCCTAAGATCAAGAAAGTCTTGGTTATGTGCATAAAGATGTGTTTAAATTGGTTATGTTTTGTCTCTCATTACTTTATAATTTCTGTAAAGTTTGCTGCAATAACAAATACATACTCTTTATATTTCAAATGTGAACAATCATACTTTTATACTGCTTTTATTATGGAGTAATGTCTTATTTATTCAACTGCACTTTATACAAGTTATATGCGTAGACAGGTCTGAAAGTATAGTTCCTATAAATACATGTAACACATTTATCCTACCACAACCTAAAACATTATTGCCTTTTTTTTCTCATTCTTCTCATTATTACTTCTTGACAAATAAATTTCCAAAATAAAAAGGAAATCAACCTAATGATTTCACAACTAAAAAAAAAAAGTAGTACCTAAAAAATTTCAGAAAATGTCAAAATGCCAAACCTAAATTCTTAGTAATCACTAAGGAATGAAACAGAATCTTGTTTTTTCAGTTATACTTAAAATTAAAAATCACAGAAAATTATGAGTTGGTAAAGGCTCTGAAAGTAGACAACTAGTGAAATTGATTGAAATTTTGGTTGGAATCATGTCTTTTAATTGACGGCACTGTCAAACAATACTTTCTTTCCAACTAAGCAGCAGAAACATGTCTGTGCGAATATCGATAGCTTTTACTGCTGGTTATAAACGGAATAAAACAAATATAAAAAATTAATGATAAACTGAAGGAATAATCTCAAATAAAATGAAATAACACATTTACTATATGGAAAATAAAAAAATGTGACGTTTAAATAAAAATATACATACTCATCTCTTAAAAAGTTAACAATGTAAAAAATAATTATTATTTATATTTAAATTCTGCTTCTTAATACAAAAAAAATTGACAAAATTGATGAAGAGAAAAAAAGGCAGTAACAAGAAATTAATACAACTATAGTATTTGTTACACTATGAAATAAAAAAAAACTTAACTGTGAAGTATGCTGCCTTAACACATGTTCGTGCAAAGGGGGAAAAAAAAATAATCTGAACAAGAAATATAATTATAAAAACAATCAAACCAGAAACCAAAAAAGAAACCAAAATGAATCCAGAAGAAAGAGAAGTCAGTTGTTGGTTCTGATGGTACATGTACCTGAGGTATGCCATAGAAAACATCAATCTCAGCACGGTAGTTCTAGAGAAAACAGTGCTAGAATCAGTCGTAGTGCATTGACTGTAATACTTTTAAATTTGTGGAAAAATGTTTCATAACATTATTTAAACTTCAAGATTTTTTTAAAAATACTATAATAAAATGCAATCTACCAATATATATATATATATATTTACGTGTTGAGTTTCTCATTTTTAGAGAAACAGTGGTTCTTCAGCTACAACTAAAGCTAGCAAGGGTAATAAAAGTTATAAAAATCATTTAAATAATCCTTAAAAGAAGGCACTATACATAATAAATCCTAATTATTCATAATTAAAAAGTGAAAGTAACAAATATACAACTAAAATGTGAGGTTTTAAAGGTGATAAGAAGTTAATTTACAGTAAATTCGTTTGATCCATTAAGGCATTAACAAGCATACAAAAGTTTAACTGTAAAAAAAGAAATTTAAATTCAAATTCAGTGTGATATTTAAATCATAAAATGTCTCTAGAATTGTCAAAAATGAAAATTTATGAGCTTCATTACCTGATGTCGCTCTAACAAAGCCTCAGCTCCGGTAACATCATTAGCCAACTCATCAGAAGATATCACACTTTTCATATTATTAATCCATGACATCAGGTCTCTATAGATATAGTACAAGTAAGGTTAAAATTCAATAATTAACTTCCTCCACCTCACAGGCCAGTGTACAAAGTACAAAGCCCAAAGAAAAATAGTATAATTATATTATACTATATTTAGAAATATAAAA